TGATGGACTTTTGCAGTAGCAAGGAATTTGGAATCATTCAAAACACTGTGGTGTAACCCAAATGCACGTTCTCATCTGGGAAATGGGCAATTATATTCCAAGTGGAAAGTGACGTTAAAGAGACAGGGAGGGAGGTTGACCCGAGATGGAGTAACAGGAGGAAGTACAGCTGAGCTCCTCCCCTCCAGCACATGCTAGAAACTACGTTAGGTAGAGTCCTGAGCGGGAAATCCAAGAGAAAAGAAACACAATGCCATTGCTGGCCCAGGTCAGCATAGGAGAAGAGACAGAGATGGGTGGGGACAAGGTCTAGCCAGAGACGTGCCCATGGATATCCCAGCATACAGGAGCTGAAAGAGGCCTGAGACTGCACCAGGACAAGAAGAGCTCCCGGACCCATAGAGGGAGATGCCCTGTGGAAGCTACGGAAACAGGTGCCACCTGGCAGCTCTGTCATTCACTACCCAATTCTGGGTCACAGGTCTAGGACGGACTGAGGAGGGGGCCTGTGTCTAGCCATGGTATTCCAGAATGAGGAACGACTGGGGACCTTAGGCTGCGTACTGAGTGAGGAGCAAGTCCAGAAGCTCTGACCCCAGGAGCTGAGCAGAATCTCAGCCCCAGCCTTCAGCCTTCAGCAGAATAACCAGAGTAAAATTCCCAGACCAAAGGAGAGCCTGTAGTTCTGTCGCTCTGAACCAGCAGAGCTCTCCAACTGCCTCCTAACAGCTGAGTCTAGCAGCAGTCTACTGGAACTTCCAGCCAGGGCTGAACCAACAGCCTAGACCAGGAGCTTGCTGACCTCAGGCCAGGTAGGCAGCAGTCAGATTTCCTGCAGGATCAGACTACTCTGAGAACACTGAAAGCTCACAGGTTAGATAGCCTGAGCTGACACTGAGGTCCTGGATTGACAACACCTCCTGGCTTCCTTTATGTTCCAGCTAAAATCTCACCCTCTAGAAGAAGCCTTTCCTGATTCCTTTTAATGTTAGTGCCTTCTCCAAGTTGTGGTATATGAATGTAATGGAATACTACCGTGCTATAAGAAATGGTGAGCAGGCAGACTTCAGAAAAACCTGGGAAGACTTGTATGGACTGAGGCTGAGTGAAGTGAGCAGAACCAGGAGAATGTTGCACATAGTAATAGCTACATTGTGCAGTGACTAACATTGAGGTAGACTTAGCCCTTCTCAGCAATACAGGGATCTAAGATGTCTCCAAAGGTCTCATGATGGAAAATGCTATTTCATCCAAAGAAAGAACTGTGGAGTTTGAATGAAGATCAAAGCATACTATTTGCTATTTTTTTTCTTCTGTTTTGTTTCTTCTTTCTGGTGGTTCTTCCTATTGTTTCTGATTTCTTCCTTACAATATCACTAATATGAAAATATGTCTAATAGGAATGTATATGCATAGCCTATATCAGATTATGCGCCCTCTTGGGGAAGGAGGAGGAGAAAAATTTACATCTCAAAAGCTTATGGAAGTGATTGTTGATAAATCAAAATAAATTAATGTTAGTGCCTTCTTTCTGATGATTATCTGAAATTTATCCTTTACATATCTTATTTGTTCCTTGAGAGCAGGGACTAGATTTTGCCTTTCTTTGAATCCCCAGTATTTAGCACAGTGCCTGGCACGTTGTGGACAACACCATCTCTGCTACTGCAGAACCCAAGAAAGGGATGACCTAGAATGGACACAGCAGGTGGAGGGCCAGTTGGACTGAATGGCTATACTCAGGACTTCATCATGCCTTCATGATGATAATCATGAAAACTTCTCCTGGAAAATCACTTCAGTCCTGGAATTCACACCTCAGGAGTACCCTCAGCCCCTTCTACCCTCCCACTCCCATTGAATGGCTTTTTCCAGAACTTTCATTTAAGGAGGGTACCCAGGAAGACCCGAGTTCAAATCTGGGCTCAGACATTATTAGCTGTGTGACCCTGGACAAGTCACGGAAACTCTGTTTGCCTTAATCCTCTGGAGGAGGAAATGGCATCCCACTCTGTATCTTTACCAAGAAAACCCCATGGACTAGATAGTGGAGGACAGAAGGGTCTGGTATACTGTGGTCCACAGGGTCACCAAGAGTCGAAACAACTCAACACTAACACCACCCGGGCTTGATAAGTACTTAGGAAAATGCTGGTCGATTTGTTGCTGCTTTCAGTCAGCACTCTTTCATCTTACCATCTGGGTATATAAAGTCTTGTTTTCCTCCCTGTGAGTTCCATGCTGGACTAGACCATAGAGTTCTTTAAGGTCTAGGAAAAGATCTTATACTTCTCATATGTCCAGCATTTGGGCATAATAAATGCTTGTTGATTAATTGAATTAAAAAAATGTTTATATCCATTTAAATTATAGTTTTTTTTAAATTTTAATCACTGTTCCCACTATGTAAATTTTGCAGTTGAAATGGATGTGAGATTACTATTTCATCAGAATAAAATGAAGTATACTGCCCTTTCACTAAATTGACCACAAAAGCAATTGTGTCTTCCTACATTTGGTTAGCTATATCTTGTGACATTAATGGATAGTTCTTTACCATGAAAAATCTCCCTTTGTACCGCTTATGTTTAATTACAGATGATACTGTTTTGATTTAGGGATATCTATACTAGATGTTTGGAATGTTTTCTATGAAACGATTAGACTTGCTCTCTCAGCTCTCATTGCTTAACCAATTCCATACTTTACACTTTTATATGCTTTATTCTTTATATACTTTATATATTTTATACCCTTCAGTTCTTTTTTGCCCTCCTTATCCTCTCAGAGATAATTGTGTAAGGAGTTGGTCCAAGCATCGCTTCCTGTACAAAGGAACCAGGACAAATGACTCTATCCCAAGGTCTTCAGGTCTAATTCAAACTGGTGAAGTAGCTTGTTCTGATATTTTCCTTTAAGCAACTATATATTAATAAATCTACATTAACTGCTAGGATCATAGGACAGTAGTGTAGTGGAAGAGTAAAAATAAATATTTATGTCCTATGTTTGAGGTGCTTGTTCGGTATTGTTGGCTTAGTGTGGATTGTTCATTATTTGGAGATTTCAATAATCTGTGCTTCTATATTCGGAAGCAAACTGAGCCCCTCTCCCATTTTGAAGCTGCTTATTAGAAAATAATGTTAAGGTAATAACTTTGGGATGAAGTCCTTGGTCCCACCTGAATGAGAAACCCTTATCAGTCATTAAGTATCAATTCCAGAAAGATGGGCTGTATTGAAATCTTTTTAAAGGCCTGATCAGTTAGCCTGAAGGGCTTCTCCCCAAAATGAATTTGGTAATGATCGGACTTGGTGAAGGGAGAAGTTTGTGGGAGTATCTCTTGAGTTCACCTTTGATAAGATTAAAAGAAGAATCCTTAGAGGGAATGGTCAAAGAGGGATCGAATGTTTTAGAAAAATTATTCTTCAGGTTACACCTACATTTTAAGTAATTGTTATACTGTTGAGGCAGCTAGGTGATTCCTTGTATAAAGCTATGGGCCTGGAGTTAGGAGGACCTGAGTTCAAATGTGGTCTAATTCTTTTTTTTTCTTTTAATATAAATTTGTTTATTTTTAGTTTTCAACATTCACTTCCACAAGCTTTTGAGTTCCAAATTTTCACCCCATCTCCCCCCTCCCCCCACCCCAAGATGGCATGCATTCTGAATATCCCTTCCCCTAGTCTGTCCTCTCTTCTATCTCTCTCCCCTTCTCTTATCCCCTTCCCCTTCTATTTTCCTGTAGGGCAGGACAGACTTCTGTACCCCATTTCCTATATTTCTTATTTCCCGGTAGCATGTGAAAACATTTTTTTTAAACATATGTTTTTAAAACTTTAGGTTTCAAATTTTCTGTCTTCCTCCCCCCTCCCCCCACCCTCATCGGAAAGGCAAGCAACTCAATATAGGTTGTACATGTGCAGTTATGCAAAACACGTCCATAGTAGACATGTTGTGAAAAACTAACTCTGTTTCCCTTAATCCTATCCTGCCCTCCCATTTATTTCTATTCTTTCTTTTGACCCTGTCCCTCCTCAGAAGTGTTTACTTCTGATTACCCCCTTTCCCAATCTGCCCTCCTCTCTATCATCCCCCTGTTCTCTTGTCCCCTTCTCCCCCTATTTTCCTGTAGGGTAAGACAGATTTCCATACCCAGTTGAATGTGTATGTTATTCCCTCCTTAAGCCAAATCCTATGAGAATAAGATTCACTCATTCCCTCTCACCTTCCCCCGTTTCCCCTTCCAAATGTGGTCTAATTCTAAAGTGGCAGGTGGGGGAGAGATTTCATAGGCAGGTTTGATTCCAGTCCCTTCTTGGATTATTTTCTAAGCCTGGGGTTCGTAATACAGGGAATTCAGACTTGTTTGTTTTAATATATTTTGATGAATGTATTTTAGTATAATTGATTTCCTTTCTGATTTTATGTATTTTATACTTTTAAAAATATTATTATTGAAAAGGGGTCCCAGACTTGCCAAAGGGCTCTGTGATACAAAAAAAGGTTAACAACTCATGCTCAAAACAGAGATACTTAGAATTATAATCTTTAACTAATAAATTGTATCTGGCAGGCTTGTGCCTAAAATATTTTTCTTCCACACACAAGATCATAGATCTAGAGCTAACAGAAATCTTACAAGTAGTCTAGTCCAACCTCCTCATGTTACAGATGAGGAAACTGAGGCCAAAGGGAGAAATAGAAACATTGCTTCTCCTTAAATGGAAGAGCTACATAGGATGTGGGATTTTAGGATCTATTTAAAGCTTGGTAGGGATGGCAAAGAGTTCTTGATAGACAAGATGATCAGATACAGGCAATGTCAGAAGGGAGGATGTTAAAGAAGGAACGAAGAGGCTTAACCATAATGAACTCGGGTTAGGCATAGACAGTGGAAATAGCTTTTCCCCCTGTCATTCCACTACCTAATCAGTTTTTCTGCTTTAAAATAGTATTTAGTTACTGTTTTTCAATGACATTCAACCATATTTTTTCAGATTTGTACTATGGTGGAGAAGCTTTCTCAGTAGAGCAGCCGCAGTCTTTTACTTGTCCCTATTGTGGAAAAATGGGTTATACGGAGACATCTCTTCAAGAACATGTTACTTCTGAACATGCAGAAACATCAACAGAAGTGGTAAGCAGGAGTAATGTTGTATTGAGATGGTATTTATGTATATATTACTCATCTTGGAAGCCATCTTCATTAGCGCAGGAGAATGTCTTTGAGACGCCCGTGTCAAAAGTTTTGCTCTTATTCATCAGAGTAAATTGCATTTCTTGTCAATAGGTCTGAAGACAGTATGTTTTTCTGTTGCCTGTCCATGTTAAATGATATGTTTCTAATTTGTTCCAAAAAACAAAGGAAGTTTAGACATTGAGTATTGAATCAGCCTAAAGGGACTATTGTACCTTGAGTTGAATTCTGGTTTGGTTTTTTTTTAAGCCAATAAATTATGCTGGGTGTTTGAGCAGTTTTTGTTCTAAAAAATGAATTTAAAAATTTTTAAATCTATTTCAAAATGATAACCAACAAAAAGTGAAAAATAATAGACTGTTCTCTCCCACAGTGAAAGCATATCCCTGACTGTATTCCATTTTCCTAAAGCCTGGACCACTTGCTTCCAAAGATAATTAAAGGAATTTGAGAACAGTGGTACCTGAAAAAGGCTTATTTTGTTCTTGCTAATAAATGTCTTTTGGTATCAGTATGAATGAGATCTCCTTGTTTGTCTCTTTCTCCTTTTCCTGTGTTCTGATTCATATGTCTTTGCTGTGTTTTCCTTTTCCAGGGTGTATTTCTGTGTCTCCCTGCAGAACTCCAGGGTATCTTTGTTCTAGCCTGCATGTCTTTGAGGTAGTCTGCGGTGGGGTGGGCATGGTTGGGGAATATCCTGTCTGTGCACATGCCTGAGCAGGCATTGAGTGGTAGAGATAGAATCTGGGGAAACAGAGTCCTCTTCTCCCTCCCGTGCCCCCTCCCCCCCCAAAGAGTCTGAGTCATTATTAGTGAATGTTTGCCTACAGCCTCACCATGACACCTACTGTAGTTTACACAGGCAACGAGAAATTCTGATTTCTTCTGATTTAAATAGATGTGTAGCCCATTTCAATCATTTCTTGCTCTGCTCTGCTCATTGATGTCCATCATTTCTTCAGGCCCCCAAGTCAAGACTAACTTTCGTTAACTTTAACTCATATTCCTCACTTCCTTAGCATGGAAGTATGTTTTCAACTTGCACTGGTCTGCGTTTTCTGATTGTTTCTCAGATTGTGTGTGTCCTGTCTCCTTGCCTAGATTGGTGATTGCTTTTATTCCACTGGAACCTTAGGTTCTTTTCTGTTCTTCTGCCTGGCTCTGGCCTGGGTTGCTTTAGAGCAGGAACCCTCCTTCTCTTGGATCCCTTTAGCTGCTGTGCACACACGTGGATGGACACATGAAGGAACCTGCCTTGGTCAAGAACCTGTAAGCTGAATTTGAGAGTGAAAAGCTGTGAGAACAGAAATAGCACCTACCTAGGCAGCCCTGGTGATGGAGAGCACCAAGGTGGCCTGGGAAGAGTGCTAGGCTTGGAGCCAATTGCCCTAGGTTCAAATTCTAGCTTTGCTACTTCTTACCCGTGAACCTTGGGCAGGGCACTTAACTCTCTGGGTCCCCTTTTCCTCATCTAAAAAAAGGAGAGGGTTGGACCAGATGACCTCTGTGATCCCTTCCAAATATATAGATCCTGTGATGATTAGCATAAGACGAATAACAGTTTTACTGGGTTAATCCAGGGAACCTTAATTTCATTCATTTTACTGGGCATGACTGCAGCATTTGATCTAGTCTCTTAGTCATGTTTTTCAGGAACCACTTTTCCCACCTTTAGTATGCTCACCGAACGATTATTAAGAGTGTAGGGTTTGCCGGGCACTGTGTGAAAGCCTGAGGATGCAAGTACAGACAAGCATGACCTCATATAGCGTTTGGTTTGTACTTATGACCCCGCTATAGTCTGTCCTGCACTGTAGTTAGCAGACAGTTGTTCTCGTATGTAATTGTTGCATATTTGATTTATGATGCTGCCAATTTGTATTTGCTGCATTCCCTATGCTAGACTGTCAGCAAGGTGACCTTATACTCTCAGGTGCTGTTTATCTGGCATGCTGCACGTGGACTCAGAGTCAGTCACCAAGCATTTCTCCAGAATTACTGTGTGCCCTGCAGACACTGTGCAGAGCCAGACCTGCAAATGAGACACAGGATGACATTAGCTATGAGACCCTGAGAAAGTTGTTTTACCCTCTCTACAGCCTTTTCCTTTTCTTCTTCTCTAAAGTAATGTGGTCCTAGTACAAGTAAGTGGCATTTCTCTAGCACCTAGGTGTTTGAAAATCGCCTACAGACACTGCCTTGGGTAGGAGTCCCATCAGCCCCATGGGGTGGGGGCCATAGGTGTCACTCTCCCCATTTTACAGGTGAGAAAGCTGTAACTCAGAGGGCTGACTACATAGCTAGGACATGGCGGAGGTGGGTTTCAGATCCCACTTGTCTCCTGGCTTCCAGGCCAACACTTTCTTTCCTATCCCCATGGAGCCTGCCTCGCCAGGTTGGTGGGAGACACAGATACTTGAGAAACTTTGCCACGCTCCCCAAAGACCAGTATTTATTACTCTCCACTTCCCCAGCCCCTCACCCAGAGTTCTGAAGGAGCTTACTGGTTGTTGGATAATGTCCCTGAATAATTACCATTGCTGCTGTTTCTAACGTGAGAGATTTGTGTTCTCCAGAATGATAGTGATCACAACTGAGAATAGCCACTCTGAAAAGATGTAGGTTTAAAAAGTAGCAACAAGAGTCAGGTCTAGATGCTTCCTTCCTTCCTTTCACCTTGCTTTTTCTTTGGGGGATGGTTTCTAGTTTGCCAGGCCAAACTTGGAGTTAGCATAGGTCCGTGCCCAAATGCTAATTTCAAGAAAACTATATGGAAACATTTTCTGTGCCTTGTCCTCACAAAGGAAGTCTTTGGAAGAACTGAGGTCAAGTGTGCCAGGAGATCACAGGCAGCAAACAGAAGATGAAAGAGATTCTGGCTCCTCAGTCCTTGGAAGCCCTAGCCAGAAAGAAGCTGTCGGAAAAAATTCCGCGGATTCCCTAGTATTTCCACAAGAGGGCTGTGGGGGGGATCTTTTACATAGAATATATTTCACTGACATCCTGAGATAAGGGAAATTGTCTACTGAAAGGAATTCTGTTAGCACTAGATTTTTATTTGAATACTTTCAAAAGGGTAGTGTTTTTATAGGGAAGGTAAGTTAAAAAAACCGGTAGACAACAAGAGATGGTAAAAATAATTAGTAGGTGTGCAACCCAGGTCTCATCTGAATTAATCACTCATTTTCAAATTCTAGAAGAGTTGGGTCATATCTGACTGCCCTTTAGGTCTCAGAGTACTATGTATTTTATCTTGTTTGTGACTTATACCAGCTCTGTGAAGTGAGTATTAGACACTATAAGCATTGCTGTCTCTTTTTTTACAGAGGAGGAAGCTGAGACAAGAGAGGTGAGGGAGCCTGACCATGTGTACACGGCTAGGAGGACACACAGACACAGAGAAAGGCACGCACGCGCGCGTGCGCGTGCACACACACACACACACACAACACACACACACACACACGCACCCCCGATCAGAATCTCCAGCGTGTATGGCACGAGGGGTGATATTCCAGTGCCTTAGTTTTGAGATCTTAGTGCTGCAATAAAATAGAGTAGGTTATTTGTCAGCACTGTTTCTGATTCTTTTAGGTCTCACTCCTTCATGCAGCCTGAATGAATGCTTAATTACTTCTCCTGACCATCAAAATTAAAAGATTAATGATAATAATAAGGTTATAGCCGTTTGGCTCAGTGCTTACCTTCAGTCTGAGAGAGGGAGCACAGAGTGAAAAGCAGCGGGCAGATTTAGGAAGCTAACCGACTTCCTTCCCATCTTGTTATGAGTCAGTGTTTCACAGAGTGGCTTCATTTTTTTGTTTTAAGTTTGAATTCCCAGAACACCAGACACACCCATATTTCAGTTGTAAGTCTAAAACAGGATTCAAAGTCAAAACTAAATTGTTTGGGGGTTTCTTTGACAGTAGAAGATGTAGGAAAGCATGAGCTATCTTGCTATATGAACAAAACTTGAAGATATTCTAAGGCCACTTACAGAAAGAAACAAGGATTCCAGAAGCATTGCGGAGCCACTGGTAGTAGTAACGGTGGGCTCGTTGTTCTCCAAGAGGACCAAAATCACATCACTGTGCTGGAGTCAAGTTCAGTGTGTCTGACTGTGGGTGATCAGACCAGTGCTGTCTTGGAACGGTCTGCCACGGGTCGGACACGGAAAGTCCACGTGAGCATTTGGGGAGAATTCTCTAAATTTGTGTGCCTTGCTTCCCATGTGCCAGGCACTGTGCTGAACACTTTACAGACATCTCGTTTGGTCCCCACACCAACTCTGGGGGAGAGGTCCTGGAGCTGACAGATGGAACTGAAGAGGAAAATAAATCAGATAACTAGCACTGTTGGCAATAAGAGGCATAGAAACATGCACTAATTAGATAAAAAATGGGATTCCAATCCAGAGTGAGGTGGCTGGCACCTAGCTTGGCTCAGGTATAACTTTAGCTCTGATGACCTGAAGTCAGTAAATTATCCAGGTGAGCCAGTACATTGGAGGGAAGGGCTTTGGTCTGTAGATGGCATGGTGGGCAAGGGTACAGGAAGGAGACCTGGGGGATGACCCATAGCTGACCAGCTGGTGTAACCCTGAACACAGCTTACTGATGAAGGATACAGTTGGCTTTGTGGGGGTATTCAGAACAAAAGCATTTGAATTTTCTAGTGTTCCTTCATGGGCTGTCAAGCCTGCTGCTTTATCACTACCACTTGGTTGATTCCAGCCCTTGTCACAGGGCCTGATGTGTAGTCCATACCTAATCAAGGCTAGTTGATTGGTTACGTGACTAAGACTAGGAGGTTCAGTATCAGGACAGATGGCTTCGGGTTCCAGTTTGTCACTAACTCTGAAAGATGTTGGGCAAGTGGTTCTGGGTCTCTGGACTTTAGTTTCCCCTTTTGTAAAATGAAAGTGGGTTATGTTAGATCTT